CATCTCTGGGACTCAGCCAACTTTGAGATGTGGTGACTTCTGTATGTGGCCCTTACTGGCTCTGTCCACGTGAATTTCTGTAATTCAAATGGCAGTTTGGACACAGGGAACATCAGCGATACACACATGGCCACTTGCTCAGGGAGCACGCAAGCCAGGGCGCACGCAAGCCTGGACGCACGCAAGCCTGGGCGCACGGCGCTCTGTTAGCAAATAAACAGAAAGGTGCTCCGAGCACCATCAAATATTGTTTTAGATTCTACAAGCATGATAGGAGATACACTCTCACACTTGATTTCTGGGAAGGCACGCATGTGATCAAAGTCAGAAAATTATGCTAAATAAACCTGACAAATTACTGTCACAACACAAGGCACTCCAGGAACATCAGCTTGGTTAAATTCAGCTTCGCAGGAACAAGCTGATGAAATTCTGTTTCTTTGAGTAATATAACCTATTTAACCATTCAAATGATTTGACCCTCCCCCGAAAACAGCAATAGAGTAAGAAAAAGGAAACCACAGCTCTCCTCACTGTTCTTCTCGGAGAAGACCTGGTTCTTAAGGAATGCAAAATTTTGGAAATATTTTAAGGTAGTTCAGGGTCACAGAGTACAAATGATGAACACACCGATCTCGAAGGACTGGAGTGTGCACAAAGGAGAAGGTAAGAACCACAGACCTGCCCCTTAAAGTCTGTGGCAGAAGACACATGAGTCAGCGTCCCCCGTGTTCTCCACCTGCACACGCGGGATCCTGGAGGCGAATGTGTGCTCAGCTGAGGAGCGTGAAGAGCAGCTCAGAAAGGGGCTTGGCTCTTCCCAGGTCACAGCCCACAAGCAGCCTCTCCACAGAGCCTGAACCAACAAGAGAAAACTGCACTCCGCTCTTCTCCCCCACGCTGCTCAGCTTCTTGCCAGGAAGGACTAGCATGTCGGTGACCAGGCGAGGGCTGCAGCTCTGCCCCGCGCACTGCAGCCGAGAGCTGGCTCAGAAGGCCGGACAGACAGCCCCTCAAAAGACACGTTAGAATGGGCCCACACTGCTAAGCCAAGGGGGTAATTGGTGGGAGTTCCTCAGTGGAACTCATCTGGAGAAGGGCAAGCCATCGCCCAGCCCCACTGTGGGGAAGGGTGGCCACAAGAGCAAAGCAAGGGGGTGGGATGGCGTGGGCGGCAGGGGCAGGTGCCCTCCTGCATGTGACAGAGAATAAATGCAGCCAGAAAGCTGGACATGGCTGTCTCAGTAAAATGCTTGCCTGCAAGCTGGGAGGCCTGGTGTCAACCCAGCACCAGTCTAAACAGCCAGGCCAGGAGAGCAAACGTGTAATTCCAGCACTTGGGAGGTAGAGACCAGTGGATGCCTGGAGCTTCCCAGCCAGCCAGTCAGCCAACGCATGAGCCCAGTAGCTCAGTAAGCGACTCCATCTCAAAGTCAAAGTGGATGGTCAGGAAATTTACCCAAGGCTGACTTCTGGCCTCCACATGTACACAGGTGCACCTGTACATTTAGGAACACATGAACACCACACCACACACACACACAGGGTGAGAGACACACACAGATAGGAAGGAAGGAAGGAAGGAAGGAAGGAAGGAAGGAAGGAAGGAAGGAAGGAAGGAAGGAAGGAAGGAAGGAAGGAAGGAAGGATCTTTCTTAATGCAGAAGCTAAGTAAATGCAGCCGCCGCCCTCTTTTCGGCTTGCATGAGGGTCAGATCCTGCAGAGATCCGCAGAACCGGAACACAGTTCAGGAAGCCTGACCTCTGCTCCCTCTTCACACTCTAGCTGCTCTGACTTTCCTGTTGGCTTGCTGAAGAAAAGGACAGTCTCTAAGGTGTGCTGAGAGCGTCTCTGCCTGCACTGCTTTCAGACAGACAGCGGGAGTGAGTCCGGTGAGGTAGCCGTGGATTTGGCAGCGCAGCAAACAGCCAGGCACAGCTTGCCTTTCAGCTCAGCTTTTTGTTGCTTTCTAGACAATGTCACATTAATTCCCACTGTGACTTAGTTAAGGAAGATTCAAAGAGAAAAAAAAAAGTAGGTGAGCTTTGCAGCAGGGATCTAGAAGTGAGGGGCTGCCTCTTCCCTACTCCCGTTTCTCTTCAGCCCGAATTCTTGGAGACCTTAATGACAGCTTGGCCCTGCTCTGTCACCTGATATCATTTAGCCAATTTTCACTGCTCAGTTTTTCCACAATAACTGGAATATTTGGCAAGAAGTGACAGTTGTGCATTGGGAAAATTTCCAACATCAAAACCCAAAAGTGCAGGTGTTTACCCTCCTGCTTTCAGCGCATGCCGAGGGTGTGCAAAAAGGGAATGGGGCAGTTATGAAGAATCAGGGTCACCACAAGGAACCCACCAGGGTGTTTCAGTGGCTGTCACAGCACAATATACCACTAAATGCTGGTTAGACAAAATAATGCCGCCCCCAAATTGCAATCTGAGCCCATAGTCTCTGCCAGAAGCCAGGCACTAACTTTGGAAGACTGTTAAAAAGGCCCTTGTCTATGTTCAGGAATAGAAGTACCAGAAAAAGACGTATGAGAAAGAGGGACTTAAGGGAGGGTGTTTGGCCAGCGAGCCGATGGAGGGCAGTAGCCGCCTTCAGCAGGTAGACCCAAGCACCCTCCCTGCTGATTGCTGTCGCTAACCCAGAGAGAGGCGTCCCAATACAACATTGGCTTATCACCAAGCAAGGCACATTGCGAAATTATGTGCATACAAAAGAAGTAGAAGAATCTACAGCTGGGCTCTTAAGTGACATGGGATGACCGTCACAGGGTCTGGGGTACTCTATTTCTGCGTGTAAAACTGACTGAGAATCAGCCGGCTGTGCTCAATAGTCTGCGTGGCTGTCTGGGGGAGACACGCCCATGGCATCTCACTGTCTGGCTCAGGTAGTTACCCATCTTCTCCACACAGAGCTAAACAGTAAGAGACGAGTGAAGAGTCAACACACGCCAGCGTGCCAGCACAGCTTCGGTAGTGCCCAGGCTTGGGCACAGGAGGAAGAAAGGGTGGATGTGGGTGCACTGGGCCAGACCTGCCTAATTCCACCCGCAGGCAGCACTTTGCTATTTAACCAGCTCGTGCTGACAAAAGTGCAAACTCATCTTTGCCTTTTACCTTCTGTGAGGGCAACTGCTAGGAAACGGACCCACTGCCAGAAGATGTGTTTGAGGTAAGCTAACTGTACATTCAGTGAGGTGTAAGGCTGTACCAACAGAGCCTAAAAGAATAAAGTCTAAATTGATTTCAGCAAGAGGAGACATGAACACTCCTAGCTGGGGCCAGCAGATACCATGACTCTTACTGGCACAGACGGTGCCACGAGAGGAACTTAGAACCATGAGGTAACTCAGGAGAGGGTTAAAGAGTGAGCAGAGGCCCAAGTGTCATAAACTGAACTTGTCAACTGCATGTTTTCCCACTGGATCAGCATTCACAGATACAGTGGCCATTATCAACTTAGTGTGACCATATTAGAATATCAAAACAACAATTCTATTTTTAAATATATATTTTAAATATTAATAGCTAACTTCAAAAAAGAGAGGAGGAGTGGATGAGCTATAATCCTAGCAACCTAGATGGATCTCTGTGAGTTCAAGGTTAGCCAAGGCTACAAAGTAACACCTTGACCAGAAAAAGAGAGAGAGGGAGAGGGAGGGGAAGGAAGGAAGGAAGGAAGGAAGGAAAGGAAGAGGAGGATAGATAAGGGGCTTATTGACCAGTCATTCCTGCTGAGTTTGGGCTACAGATCAGTTAGTTTAACCGACTTGGATGACAAGCATCAGTTGTTCCTTCATGTAGCCAAGCTCAGATCTCGTCACCTAAAAATCTGCTCTTTAACCCCGGGATAGGAAGCAGATTTTATTCACTGGATAAAAGAAAGATTGGGTGACTTTTTTTTTTTTTTTTTTTTTTTTTTTTTTTGCAGGAATTAAAAGGTTTTCCTACACACTTCCACCTCAGAAATTTCCAGAAACGCCTAATCAGGCCATTCAGCTGTTAACTCAGGCAAAACAAAGCCTGTCTCCTCTGCTGAAGTCTCGTGGACGGCTCTTTTAAATTTTCTCCCTTCCTCTGTGAACACTCCAGTGGTATGTTTCTAATGTCTCATTTGGTGCATTCTGTCAGATTTGCAAGCACAAATCTAATTACTGACACACTATCAACCCTAAAGAATGAAAAGGTGAACACCACCACAGTGAAGAATACTGCCTTAGAACGTCATGCTTTAAGTGTATTCATACTACTTTTGACTAATTTTCTTTTTTCATTGTCATTTTTATTATGTTATAAATTATTATCATGTTCTTCATATATGAATGAATTTTGGCTCTAACTAGACATGAACCTTCAAGAAACCAAACTTGCAACAGTTCTAAACTGCAAAGGGTATATTGGAACCTATATACACACGTGTGAATATCCCCTGTGGACTGACGAGAAACATGCAAAGCAGTGAAACACACAGATTAATAATAATAATAATAATAATAATAATAATAATAATAATAATAATAATAATGCCAGACTCTGTGTGGGAATGCCAATACCCTAATTCTAACCCCAAACTCCAGCCCAATTCCAATCATCCAAAAGAACCCAGATTTATTTATCCTTATCTTTCCAATTACTTGAAAGAAAACAAAACATCCAAAAAATAAAAATAAATAAATAAAATAAAATAGACTGCTGTGGCCATAGAGGGCAGAACTGAAAACGGCAGTTCCTCCCAGCCATGTTCTCCTTGAGCACACGCTGACTGAGCTCCCTGGTCCCTGCTTTCCCTGGGAGCTTAGGGTTCTGCTTAGTATTCATTTGGGGTGGGGAGAGGGAAGAGGAAGGGAGAACAGGAGGGTCAGACAGGTTCCTAAGAAAGATAATCTGTTTGTTTATAGTTTACTTAGGCAAAGGGACCTTCAGAAGGGACTTTGATAAGAGGGGACAAAGTTTCTCCTGAAAGGAGTTGTGTTCTTCAGCCAGAACTTCGGCTTCTTTCACACACAGGTGCCTGAAGAGCTGGGGAGTCGCTGCCAGTCCAAGACACCTTGAGCTGGTCCGTCTATTTCCTAAAAACCTTAACACACTGACATCAAAGCTCCTTCCTGATTCCCTTCTCTCTTCTCCTCCTCTTTCTCTCTCCCCTTCTCTCCTCTCTCTGTCTCTCTCTCTCCCTTCTCTTCCTCCTCTTTCTCTCCACTCTCTCCTCTCCTCTCCCTCTTTCTCTCCTCTCTCTTCTTTCTCCCCTCTCTCTGCTCTCTCCCCCTTTCTCTCCTCTCCCGTCTCCCTCCTCCTCTTTCTCCTCTCCTCCCTCCTCCTTCTACGTCCCTCCTCCACTCAGTCTCTTCCAATCTCGTTCTTTCTCTCTTCATTTCCCTCAGGTAATTCCTACAGAAACTTGTACCAACTTGTTCTTGACTGACAGCGAGCGTTTCTTCACTTTGAGAAACCCTCAGCACTACCTCTTTCACCTGCCTCTACATGGGCTGATCATTTCCTGGCCTGGTCGTGGTTTCCCATCTACCCAGGAGCCGGCACTGGGCACTCCACAGGTAAGAGACGGGAGCTTATGTCAGCAAGGGGGCACGCAGCATGCTGGAGAGGTTTCTGAAAACCTTGACTTCAAAAGGCAGTGAAAACATTGTGCTTCTTTACAAAAAGCTTCCTTAAATCGCTGAAGCCAGTCAAGCTTATCTGGGGGCATTTACAAGTGCTGTTTACTTGTGGAAAATGGGGCAAAGAGAGCAAAGGTACTTCATCCTTGTATGCAGAAAAGAAGTGTAAATACCCAGAAGCAGCCCAGCATGCTGAGGGGCTAGGGGTCTAGAGTCTGAGGATTACTTTGTTATTCTCTTAAGTGTTCCATGTCGTGTGGTGTGTGTTCCTGATTTTCAGTGATTATATGGTTCTCTCTTAAGTTCCCTGGCTGTCATTTCCCTTTGTCGGTGGAGAAGTCAGTTCAGGTGGAAGTAAGGCAGGCCCTCCACCAAAGATTTGAAACTGTGGCGTGTGGGACCCAGAGGAAAGAGCTGCTAGGTTTCTGTGTCGGGTCAGAGGAGCGGACAGCAGTCTGCTTGAGAACCCGCCAGGTTCACCACCACCCCTCGGACAATGCTTCTTTCCCTAATGTGGGTGTAATTTCACGTGCATTCAGGCTGTTTTCAGCACAGGAGCGCAGTGCCAGGCTAAGCCCCCACCTCGCCCCTGCAGAGCTTTGTCTGTTCCCTACACTTGTGTGTTCAGCCTGGAGGAAAGAAGAATTTGCCTCTTAGACATCTCATGAGCTCCCAAAGACTTTAAGCCACAGGTTGGAAAACTCCGTTTGCAAACGGAGAAATTAATTTTGGGCAACTGAAGCCCCAACCGTGTCCCCCGCACCATCAAAATGCTCGGCTTCCCTTCTCTTTCTCTGAGTGTGTTCACCACCCAAGCCCAGCTCACTGTCAAGGTTATAAGTGAGCTTCAGGGTTCCTTTCTGGCCATCTGAAATCACAACTCACACCTACAGCAGCCTGGGTTAGTCTGGACTCTTCTCTACTCTGCCCTTTCACATGAAGGTTTACACAAACAGGTCGCCATCAGTAATAGCCTTGGGTGACAAATTCTCTCCTGTTTACAACTGTGCTTTAAAAAAGAAATCAAAGGGAAGTGTCACATAAAACTGGAATGTGCTTATAAATGCCATCCAGGTGTGAACACCGCATACGGGGTAAATCCAGGTGAGGAATAATTACAGACTCACCTCACACTCGAGTCCCTTCCCGGGGTTTGCTTTACTCACGTCTCCGTCCTGAGGCAGCACAAGTGAGCACAGAGCATGACCCCGAGGTCACACTCGGGCTTCCCACGCACAGCTGCACAGCCGAAGACTGACAAACTTAAGCTTCTTTCAGCACTCTCAGCAAGAGAGTGGGTGAGAGAGTGCAGCCTTTCTCCCGGTTTTGCACACTAGTGTGTGGGGTCTTAGGGAAGCAGGCTTGACTGGAGCCTGCGGTCCTGCCTGCCGGCAGGAATGCATTCTTGAGAAGCCCTCCCTCTGACCACTTCTCCCTCCCCCAGCCCGCCACGCTGCCAAGTTACAGAATTTCCTCACCTCGCACTCATAACCAGTGTGGACAGCTCACGTTTGGGAGGGGGGCAGGAGAATGAGACCACAGGCGTCAGGGGCCAGCAGGCCCAGAACTCACACAAACAGGTTTTCCTGGCTCCTGCCCTCAGGGCTGAGGGCGTGCCTCCTCCCCCCTTCAAGGAAGAAATCTGGAAAGGCTTCTGTGCTTGATGGAGGGAAGGCTCGGATGTGTGTGCTGTGTGGGCATGCGTGCAAGTGTGTGTGTGTGTGTGGATGCAGATGTGCGATCTGTGCACATGTGAATGTGTGTGCATATGTGTTCGCATGTGCGTGTGTGTTCCTGGGTGTGCTTTCTTATATTCACCTGGATGTCGGCACATGCAGAGGGGCAAACACAGAGGCGGCCTTCCCCTGACTTCCACATGGATGTCAGACACAGCCCTTCCCCAGCAGTCCGCCCAGCTCCTGAGCCATGCAGAACACCTTCCCTCAAGGTGTCCCCTCAGAGTCCACGCTGAGTTTAGAGTGGCTCTGTGGACTCCCCAGCCCGAAGCATGGGGAGAGAGAGTGGGTGCTGCAGCCAGTGCCAGCCCCAGGAACTCCTGTGGGGGTGTGGAAGCCTCTGAGGGCTTGCCCTTATCCCTCCTCACAGAAGCAACCCAGTTTGGACTGTCCCTTATGGACCTCACTTATGTCTCTCAAATGAAAACAGTTATTTTCTCTACTGCAAAAAGACTCCGAGGGTTGCTGTAAAGAACTAATATTGATTTCACACCGGCAGAGAGGAGTTGCTTACCGGTGGTCAAAGGCAGGAAGAAAGCAGAAGGAGGCTGTGGCCTGCTTTCCTCGCCTTTGTCTCCTCAGAGCCACTTCCATGTCCCTGGAAGGAGGCGGAGGCAGGCATAGCCCAGGAGCATAGTGAGCCATGGACAGGCCTGGCCCTGCACCTCTCAAGGACACAGTGCCCTGCTAGAGGCAGGTGTGAGCCAAACTCTTGGCTCCTCGCTCAGGCGGCTTCCTGGTGCCAGTTGCCTGGCAGGTAAGGGACTCTGTGATCAGAACTTCCAGGGCAAGCAGCTTCGGGAGAGCCAAGCCCTGCATGAATTGAGGGAACAAGGGGCTCACTTCCTCCTCCCCTTCAGAGGGCACGCTGGGAGCAGCAGGTGGGGAGATCAACGACTCCAGGAAAGAAGGGTACTGACTAAATGTTGCTCTGTTGAGAGGGATGACAAACAGGAACACAGACATCAGTACAAAAGGCAAGACGGGGGCACAGCTCATAGTAAAGCAAGTCGCCAAGGGGCATGGGCCCTTCTGCCTCCAGCTCGTAGGAAAAGGCCGGACAGAGACTTGAACCTGAGAACAGCACAGGTGCGTTCTCTGGATTCACAGAGCCAACCACAGGGGAGGCTCCTGGACTAACATAGCTGAAATCCTCGTAGGATTTGGAGCCACACGTTTGTGCTCCTTTCTTAACTAGGGGGTCTTGGTAAGAGAAATGCAGCTTCCTGCATTCCCTCCAACCAACGGGGCAAGGGTGAACCAAAGCCCAGCCTACGTGTGTGCTCTCTACCCGATGCTCTGTACTATAAACCCCAGCCACCCTGGCACACTATAAAGACCAGCAAGGTTGCCCATGCTCACCTCAGAAGACACCAAGAAGAAAACGGGTTCTGACTCAGGGCATAAAGACACACTAGTGCCAGCAGCTGGTTTGTGCCCAGTAAAGAGCAGCTCAGTGAAAGTGCATGTGTGTGCCCCACCCAGCTGAGGACACACGGGAAAGCCAGGGCAGCATGCACGATGGCATGAGCTGGGTCCTGTCTGGTTCTCCCCTCCACCCCCGTGATTGCGCAGTTGGAGCACGCCCCAGGCTGCAGCCGTCCACACCAGCAGAGATGCTCAGGATCTCAGTGCCGTCTGGATGCCCTGCTTCACCCAGGGGTCAGCAGTCAGGGCAAACAGCACCGCAAGCCGGCTGTGCCCCTGGAATGCCCGGCCATACTGACCCGCTGAAACGGAAGGTGGGTGAACCTGACGCAGAGAAGAAGCAGGCCGGTGGAGGATGTCTGGAGGACCCGGCAGGTCTGGCTTCAGTTCACCCTTGTTCAGTCAGAGCCGTCTTGGTGTCAGGCTGACCTGACAGCTACAGAATTCTTGTGCATTTTTTCCATGGCCCAATGCAGAGGCTGGTCAAGATTTCACAGGGCTCAAAGATCACCCAACACCGGGCTTTCTTCAAAGAACACGAGTTTCAAACGGTGGCTGCAAAAGTCAAAGGGGGTTCTGAAGAGGGCTGTGCGTGGGAGGAGGCCCACACTGGGGTCTCGCCCGTCCCCTAAGTCCGCCCTGGATGAGGGGACAGGTGAAGGCGCGGGTGAGCGTGTGAAGGGCGGCTGCCGGCTGCCTGAGGGAGACTGTGGGGGCAGGCAGGGCAGTTCGGACCTGTGCTGCTCTGCGCCTCCTCACTCCACCTCGTGCTGTCTGGAATGCTTCTCACGTCCCTGGCATGGGACCAGGGGCAGATCTCCACCAGACGCAGGCCCCCGAGGTCACGTCCTCGGGGTAAGATGCAATCGGTGCGCGCCTCTCATGGCAGTGCCCCTGCGTGCTGGAGTTCACACTTCTACCTGGAAAGCTGAGCACCGACGCCCACAGAGCGCTGTGCCAGGCAAGAGCCTAACCCCAGAACGACGTCAGATCTACCGGAGAGCCCTACCTTCGCCAAGGGACTGTGCGCAGCTGCCTCAGTGAAACGCCTGTGTGTCCGGCGGGGGCTCCCCCGCCCCCGGTTTCTGTGAACGAGGGCTGCTCTGAGTTCATGTATCAGTTAACGGTCATTTCCTGGAATGACTGCTTGCGAAACTCACCAAATAATGCTCTTCCTCGTGAGTGTTTGCACCCTGGAGTATTTGTAGGCTGGGGCTGCTCCGTCCGTATCCCCTTCAGTAAAGATACTCGGTCGAGGCCCGAACCTTGCCGTCTTGATCCCTAGACTTCCCCTTTCTGCCTAGCCCCGTGCTTTAAGAACAAGGCTCACATTGCTGAGCCCGCCTGTCAGCCATTCCCACAGACCTGCTAAGAGTCAGGAAAGCGTCTGGAAGTGCCTGGCTGTGTGTGTGTGTGTGGGGGGGGGGGCGGCTGAAGTGCCGCAGAACGAGTCCCGCCCGGCTGTCTTCTGAGAAGTCTCGGGAAGAACTGACAAGTGGCTAGCCGCCTACTCCATCACCGGCATATATGTGCAGGCGACAAACAGGAGCTTTGAGCTAGAGCATTAACAACATTAACATTAACGCTGTGTAAACGGCGTGCGTTCTGATGCCAGCCTTGTCCTAACACAGCTACGCCTGTCTTCGATAACCTGATTAATACGCTTCAAGACTGACTTTTTAAAAGATTTTGTCTTTGCTTTATGATTCTGTGTGTGTCCGTCCCCCAGTGTGAGTTTGTGCACAAGGGTGCAGCTCTCAGAGGCCAGAAGAT